TCTGGAACCAGTCTCCTCCAGAGGGGTTGGACACTCTTCCACTCTGGAGTTGCCCATGCTGAGAGGCGCCGAGCAGGAGTGGGCATAGTTATTGCCCCCCATCTCGGTGCCTGTATGTTGGRGTTCACCCCGGTGAATGAGAGGGTAGCCTCCCTCCACCTACAGGTGGGGGGATGAGTCCTGACTGTTGTTTGTGCCWATGAGCCTAACAACAGTTCAGATTACCCACCCTTTCTGGAGTCCTTGGAGGAGGTGCTGGAGAGCGCTCCTAACGGGTACTCCCTCGTTCTGCTGGGGGACTTCAACGCTCACGTGGGTAATGACAGTGAGACCTGGAGAGGCGTGATTGGGCGGAATGGCACCCCCGATCTGAACCTAAGCTGTGTTTTGTTATTGGACTTCTGTGCTCATCATGGATTGTCCATAATGAACACCATGTTCAAACATAAGAGTGTCCATATGTGCTGTTGGCACCAGGACACCCTAGGCTGCAGTTCAATGATCGACTTTGTTGTCGTTTCATCTGATCTGCAGCTGCATGTTTTGGACACTCAGGTGAAGAGAGGGGCRGAGCTGCCCACTGACCACTACCTGGTGGTGAGTTGGCTCCGTTGGTGGGGGAGGATGGTGGTCAGACCTGGCAGACCCAAACGTATAGTGAGGGTCTGCTGRGAACATCTGTCAGAGTCTCCCGTCAGACGGAGCTCCAACTCACACCTCCGGGGGAGCTTTGAACACGTTCCAGGGGAGGTGGGGGACATTGAGTCTGAGTGGGCCATGTTCCATACCTCCATTGTCGAGGCGGCTTACCTGAGCTGTGGCTGTAAGGTTGTTAGTGCCTGTCTTGGTGGAAACCCTTGAACCTGCTGGTGGACACCAGCAATGAGGGATGCTGTCAGGCTGAAGAAAGAGTCCTGTCGGGTCTTTTTGGCCTGTGGGACTCTGGAAGCAGCTGATAGGTATTGGTAGTCCAAGCGGATTTCAGCTCGGGTGGTCACTGAGTCAAAAACTCGAGCGTGGGAGGAGTTCGGAGAGGCCATAGAAAAAGACTTCCGTACAGCTTAGAGGCGATTCTGGTCCACCATCCAGCATCTCAGGGGTGAAAGCGGTTTACCACAAACACTGTTTATGGTGGGGATGGTGCGCTACTGACCTCAACTCAGGAAGTTGTGGGTCGGTGGACGAAATACTTCGAAGAACTCCTCAATCCTACTGACACGTCTTCCCATGAGGAAGCAGAGCCCGAGGACCCWGGGTCGGACTCTCCAATCTCTGGTGCTGAAGTCACTGAGGTGGTTAAAAAGCTCCTCTGTGGCAGGACGCCGGGGTGGATGAGATTCACCTGGAGTTCCTTAAGGCTCTGGATGTTGTGGGGTTGTGTTGGTTGACCTGACTCTATAGTATTGCGTGGACATCGGGGGCAGTTCCCCTGGATTGTCAGACYGGGGTGGTGGTCCCCCTATTTAAAAAGGGAGGCCGCAGAGTGTGTTCCAGCTATAGGGGTATCACACTTCTGAGCCTCCCTGGTAAGGTCTATTCAGGGGTTCTGGAGAGGAGGGTCCGTTGGATAGTTGAATCTCAGATTCAAGAAGAGCAGTGTGGCTTTGGTCCTGGTTCTGGAACGCTGGACCAGCTCTATACCCTCAGCAGGGTCCTGGAAGGTTCATGGGAGTTCACCCAACCGGTCTATATGTGTTTTGTGGACTTGGAAAAGGCATTTCAACATGTCCCTCGGGGGTAACTCCAGGAGTATGGGGTATCAGGCCCATTGATACGGGCTGTTAGGTCCCTGCACGACCGGTGCCAGAGC